CTTGCAGTTCTTGCTGAAAAGAAAAATCTGAGTTCTAAATCTAGCACTACCAGAGGACAGGCATCTGCAGCTGAATATAAAGCCGAAACTCCCTCGCTTGAACAAAATCACTCGCTATAGAGGGCTTAAAATAAGTAAAGCCCCAAGCGATGAGCCACACACACATTTTCTACCACACGCAGTATGAAAAAATAGCTCAGCCATGTGACGTCCTAGTCTACGCCATGCCTGAGTTCTACACAGAAGTCTTTTCCTCTCACTTTCCCTGGTTTTAGACAGAAATACATTTCCCTTGAAGTGAGAAATAGATATGTTTAAAAGACAGTCCAGGCCCTCCAGAAAAGCACTTACTTTGAAAGAGCAGGACAGGTCATGTATTCAAAACAAGAGCACCTTCTTAAGGAGCAGGCTCAGAAGTTGCTCAGTGGCAGTGGCCTCGATTTGTGCTTGCGACTCAGCCCTGCTGCGCGCAGTGCACAGAAAGGCTGCAGTCTGCGTGGTGGAGTCCTCCCGGGGTGCTGCGTCAGGATGACGCTCTGGAACAGTTACTGGGACAGGCTGTGAGCGAGTCAGTGGCGCGGTTTTATTTCTGTGCTGAGACTGCTGCTTCCTGACAGGGAAAATATTGATGGCAAAGTTACCCCCAGGAGTCAGGCAGCCACTGAGGGAGCCGGATGGCCTGGGTTCTAGGCAGTGGACAGAGCCCACCAGTGGCCTCTTGGGCAGAGGCCAGGCAGCCAGGATCTTGTCCTTCTCGCAGTGGTTCCTTGACCCTGCCAAAGGCATGACTCAGCTCACTCATGGCACTGCTGGCCAATGCTGTTGCTCTCCTGCGGTCCAGGAAGCCCGAGTTCCAGGCAGAAACCAGAGAAGACAGAGAGGAGGCTGCACTGGTCACTGTGGTCCCTAACTCAGTGGGGTCTAGGGATGTGGCTTCTTATGCAGGGACATGTATCACCTGTCCTCCAGAAGTTACGACAGTACAGTGGTGTAGGACTCTGGGCTCCTGACGGGTGAAGGCCTGCACTCCTGTCAACTAATACCCTCTAGACCAGTGGTGGCAAACCTATGGCACACATGCTACAGTGGACTGCTGGCATCACTGAAAGCTCTAAAAGGCTCGCCATCACTACTCCAGACTAATGCGGTGCCTAGGGTGAAGCATCACTTTGGTTGGCTTTGGAATCTGCCCCCAGGGGCTTGCTGGGGTACTCATCATCCTTTTGTTTATACTGCAGGTTTCTCATTTTAAAGAAATCATGTGATTCTTAAGTGTGGGTGTGTGTGATTTATTTCACTTACTTTTTATTTTTTGTATTTTAGGGAAGGTTCTACAGAGTGTTTAGGGTCTCACTAGGGATCTGCCTGTTTACAACCTCCCAAGAGCTCAGCTTACAGGAGCACACCACCATGCCCAGTCTCAATTGCCATCTCAGCAGGTCCCAGGGATGGGGCCGGCATGGCAGGCTCGGGGATCAAACCTCTGCTTCCTGTGCCTGCTTGCAGGTACTTCAATCCACTAAGCTATTTGGCCAGTCCTTCACTTACTATTATGGACATGAAATGCATACATTTTCCTACAAAGGATTCAAAGGTGGGTCACAGAAGTGTGGCCTTGGGATCTATATCTAAATCCTTGCTCCTTTCTCTCTGGCACTGCCTCCCTCCTCTGTTTCCTGACCTCTGTGAACCAAGCAGATTTTCTCCACCACGTCCTCTTGCCACATTTTGCCTGCCTTAGAGCCAGCTAACCATGGACTAAATCCCCCAAACCATAAGCTAAATTGAGGTATATCAGATATTGTGTTCCAACAAATCGAAACCTGATGTGGGATGGGGGAAGGTGGGGATTCTTGGGATAATTTTTACTTGGGGAGATTTAAGCAAGGACACTAAAGTTATGGAGCCCTAGCCCTTTTAAACTGTGTGGTGTGGTATTAAGGAGGATGAACTGACAAGGGACAGTCTCTGTTAGGGGAGGAGACACCCTTCCCCAAGTAAGAATGAAGTGGAATGGATCCTGGACTTGGGTATCAGATTATCTTTCTGAGCTTCTCTTTCTATGTGAGATGTTTGTATGACCTCTCAAATGTTAATGCCCCTTTCTTCCAAGTCTTGCCACACCTAGCACATGCCCTACTAGTGAAAAGAAATCAAATGAGTCAATCTGGTCTCCCCATGGCTTCCATTCCTACCCCTTCATCTTCTCTGAAAGGCAGTAAATTCTGGCAAAAGACTACCACTTACCATTGCCTCCCGACTCTAGTTGCTTTTAAATTCTGAAAAGCCAAGAACTGATTAGCTGTTGGAGAGTGTGGCAGATATGCACATGTGGGACACAGATACCCCTTCAAGAAAGGACAATGCCCAGCTACCGGGAGGTCTCTGGCCGCCAATTCCCTTAGGCCCACCAGGACTCCCAAGGTCCTCTTAGGGTGTCTAGCTGATGATGGAGCCAGTTTGGGGTAGCAAAGGCCAAGCCTCTGAATAGCAGGCTTTGCTCCTGGGGATTCCCTGGGGTGCATATCCTAACACAATCCTTCTTCCACTCTTCATCTTCTACTGGTTTTGTTTTCTTACCAGATGAGCACCTATACTCTCTTGGGGACCCAAGAGAGATGCAAGTCTCTGTGATGCATATGTCCCTTACTTTTCCAATTTGATTGGCTTCAGGAAACCATCTTTGAGTGCTAGGATCCTTATCCTTCCAGCATAAGACTCTACAGCACAAATCATCTTCTCATTCTCTTATTTACAGATATGCAGAGTATTGGTTTCTATCAGTTTTAGTAAATGGTTCTCAACAAGTGAGGCATGTAAGACCCATCCCAGATTTACTTCAATGTGCTAATACCCAGGCTCCATGTGCAAAGTATCTTTTGTGGTTTGTGGTGCATTCTGGGTAAAGGGCCTTTGACTGTAGCAGGGAATTCCTTCTTGTTTAAGCCTCTTTCTGAGATGAGTATCTGTCCAGCTGAAGATCATTTTTGGGGTTCAGTTGCATGCATACCTTAACTTGCCAGCTGAATGATCCTTCCTTCACTTCCAAATATTTTTTAAGTCCAGCTAGTCATGTTGAAGACCAATTTCAGAGTACAGTTCTCTTCTTAGGAAATATTAGGAAGGGATAGGAAACTTTGGGATCATTTTCAATTTTGAAGATTCAAGTAAAAACGCAACAGTTATGTCACCATAGGTTCCATGATCATAGAGAGTGTGGAGCAAGGAATTTGGCACTCAGAGCTGGATCCCATATCATGTCCTTTATGCTTCCTGGGGTTATGCATAGGCTCATATTTCACAAACTAAGTCATCCGAGGGCTGAGCTTTGGAACACCAGTTGAAATTGTCTTCTGTCCCTGTTTCTCAGGGAGCAGTCACTCATTTCAATATCAGAAGAGAAGCCTGGACCATCCTGTTTTGTGGGTCACTGAATAAAATCGCCTGTGATGATACATGTGTACCTTTAGCTTTGTGGTTCAGTTCCTGCAGTTTTAATTCAAAGCAAAACTTGTACCCAAATATGCCCATGAGCTGGAATTCTCTAGGACCGAGAAACCCTACCTTTCTGAGGACATTAGTCCAAGAAGGAAAAAAAGAGAAATGCTCCAAAGGAATGATTTGGCATTTTATAAAGAACTTCTCACTGGAACTTTGAAGCCAAGAAAAAAGCACAGTAGATCAGGGAGAATTTGTTTTGCATGAGTTTTGCCTTTCCTAAGCGGGGAAGCCTAGGTGTACAGGAGCTGAGAAAAATGAAGCTCTTGCAGAATTGTAACACGTCACAGTGTCACAGAGGGGGTGTTTCCTAACAGCACAACAAAGAGGAGACCTGATAAGAAAAACAGGGATTTAAAGTTCTTGCGTTGGGCCTATCCCCGGATATTTGGCAGCATGGGATAGATACTAATTTAATACTTCTTGAACACAACACTTCATTATTTAGTAACACTGGAATGACTCAGGAGGGAAGTTGCTTCCTGTGTGAACTGGGAACAGTGCCCCAAAGCAGAGGAGATGTGACCAGTGCATGAGAGGGTGGCCTCACCCCCACCACCTGCTGCATCAAGACACTCACTGATCAGCACTGGGCTCCCTCTCTCTCTTGCAGAGTTAATGCAAAGACTTGCTGGATACGTACACTCATGAGCTTAGTATACTTGCAAATCACTATGCAAATGTGAGTTTTGGTTAAGTTTTTTGGAAAGGCCTCCAAGGGAATGATAGTAGAACGGCACAATGGTCCCACAGGTATGGACTCCAGCTCAGAACCATGGGCCATCACTGAATCTCTGCTCCTCACTTACCAAGAGGGAGACTGGAGACTCCAGCCAGGGTGGCTCAGCTTCCCCATCCGCACATGGGAGCAGAATCACAACTACTTCTCAGGCCAGTGCTTGTGGGGAAATCATGCACCTCAAGTGCACTGTGATTCTTGTAAACCAGGGCTGTCACCACAAGCAAAACTGAGATGCAGGAAGGAGAAGACTTGGCAGGGAGACTGGGGGAGCTGGTAGAAAGCATTTTCCAGGGAAAGTCACCCAGAAAAAACAGAGGCAAGAGGTCCACTCTAGCAACCCCACAGCCTCCTGGTGACCTGATTCTGAGTGAGGGAGTGACTTTGATGTTCTTCTCTCAAGGCAAATTTCCATGTGTCCACATTAGCTGGAAGGCACGGGAGCTCTTGGCTGTCATTTTGGAAGGACCATCACAGATTTTGTTTCCAGGTACAAATTCACTTAGGACAACAGTATGTTCACATCACACAAGGACTTGACATGCAAAGAACATCATCTCAAAATGCAGCACAGTTGAATTCTGGGGGAGCAAGGGGGAGTGCAGGAGGTGGGTGATGATCTTAATGTCTGGGTTGCACTGGAGGTAATTCCGGGCAGGGCGGTCTGGGCAGGCTGTGGGCTGAGACACATTCCATCATGAGTGGAGAGGGTTTATAATGGAATGGCATGGATGGTTTCTTATAATCAGAAAAGCACACTGACCTTCACACTACACAGGTGCAGCAGCATAATGGCCCACCACGCGCACGCACATCAGTTCCTGGGAAGAGTCCAAGGAGGTTAACTCAGCATGCATCCGGGCAAAGGAAATCAGTGACATTATCCAAACATAGTCCTGTTCCCCCGCCCTCACCAAGACCTCTTGAGCAAAAAGTACACAAAGGTCCTGCTCATTCTGATAAAATGGAAAAAAGGTGGCAAGCAATATCAATATCAAATCCTTTGATTTGTGTTTTTCATTTTACCTTAGATTTGCAGTACTAGACAGGTATCTTTAGAAGAAAGAATTTGGGTCCCCCCAGTCCTCTGAGAAAGCTACAGAAAAGCATGGTGGCTGTACACCATTTGTGAAACTTCTGACCACAGGAATCAAATCTACTACAATTGAATGGTATAAATGGGCTGACTTCAGGTCAAAGCTTTGACTGCCTTCTGCCTGTGTTCAGGTATGAAAGACACAGAGGGAGCCCTGTCCTTTTCCATGAATTGTCCAGTGGAGCCTCTGTCGCCCCAGAGTCAGTCACCTTCACATCACTGGTCCCTCACTGGTACTTACCAGCCACGTAAAAAACAAGCATAAAGAACTTGAACAGAATAGGAGAATCGTGGACAATATCTATCAGCGCCCCCCTCAGTCTAAGATCACATTGGCTCATGAGTCTTTATTTTGATTTTATGACCTCACCTTCTTCCAGAGTCAGGGTTGCCATGATCGTAATCAATATGGCCTTGTTATAGAAGAAGAGTAGTGTGTGATGTCAGCATTCCCAAACTCCGGGGAAATCTGAAGCTTTGCTGACAAATGAGCTCGTGTAAGAAATGAACAGCAAGCTTGCATTCTAGGCACCCGGATTATGTTTTCAACCCTGGGCCTAGCAGGCTTGAGTAGGAGAGAGAGAATTCAGCAGCCCTTTGCTAAGCCTTCCTGATACCAGGCTGGGTACAGCTGGACTTCTGGGTAGTGATGGGTACCTTGCAACAATACCTCCTCCAGCCTCCTACCTTCCTCAGCTACTGACTTCCTGGAAAGCCATTTGAAGAATACCTAAAGTGAGGAGAATACGTGCATTTAAAGTGAAGGGGGAGGATTTAGAGAGGGATTCCTGGCAATGTCTCTTCCTGTAAGACAATTTTAAAGAGATATACATATTGCTATATTTTTTAATCACACCTCTTGTATATACATGGAAGCCTGAGAGTGGGAATTCCTTGCTTTAGTGGTTTTTCTGGCTTCCATATACTAGCCTGAGATGCATCTCCTACAAACATGCAAACTGGATCTAGTCCTGGCCTCCCTGCTCACTCCACCTTTGCTAGGACTCTTGTGGTATCAGAGGAACTTGCTTCACCCTCCACCGGCTACCTGCTCTCCTCAGCCTTGCCTCTGCACCTATCATCAGTCCCCAGGACCCCTCAAGTGCAGGAGAGAGAACCTGGATTAAAACCCTGTGGGAATTCTGACAGTTTTAAAGTTAGTTCTAATGAGTTATTTCTCTGGGTATCATCTGCCTTGCAGCCTTTAGAGTTTTCTGGGGCTGGGCTGATATTCGCAGCACTTAGCAGGAGCCTGGTCAAGTAGGCTCGCTATGTCCACAGGAGGAGGGTGAATGAATGAAAGGCCAGGGCTGGCTTTGTCCTTGAGGAAGGGAGTCTAGATGTTACAGACAGAAAATTTCTGTGGCATGTGGCCTGAGCAAAGTGTCGCTCCAATCAGTCAAGCTCGCGTGCTTGCTAGGCAAGTGAGTACAAAAGGACAAGAAGACCATTCAAATGGAATGTTATGTATTTAGCAGTTTTCACTGGGAATATTGAGGCATTTCTTTGTGTTGGGGGCTGCTGAAGCTGGAAATTGGTCATATGTGTAAGGGCAGGACAAGGCCACAGTGCCTAAAACAGTCAAGCTACCTCAGTCCTGAGAAAGAACATCCTGTCTGGTCAATGTCAGCTATTAGTCACTAGGCAACCTTGTGTCATGTGATACTGACTTTGTAAAGGTATATGCTCCTGTTATTGTTATGGGGGTGCTTTGCCAATCAGACAAATAGGCCAGCACCTGACACTGCTCTTGTCTTCTTGTCTCTTTTTTCCTCATTCCCACCACTGTTTCTCCCTGGGGTGCCTGAGAGACCAAGGAGTCACATTATATGGTTTACTGTGAGGTTTTGCTTTGTTTTGTTAAGTACTGGGGATTGAACCTAGGGTCTTTGTGCTGAGCTACATCCTCAGCCCTGTTCTTTTTCTTTTCAGACAGGGTCTCTCTAGGTAGCTAAGTTGCCCAGGCTGGGGTTTGACCTCAGTCTTCCACAGAGCTGCGATGACAGGCATGCACCATTATGATCAGATTGTAATTTTTTTTCATTTAAAATCTACTAAACTAGAAAACATGACTCTGTAATAGAGGAGGAATAAGAGTAGAAGCAGAGACTTTATCAGGAGAGTGAACGAGGATCCAGTTCCACACCACCCAACCAAGAAGAGCTCCAACGGGACACTCTGGGCCTGAGTACTGGAAGGACTCACGCAGGAGCCAAGTGATCTGTTAGGGAAAGTGGTCAGGAGGTGCCTTTGCAGACTTTGGCTTTCCAGTTTCCCACTGCTCTTCCTTTCTGCCCTGGGAGCAGCCCGACTGCAGTGAAGGAACGCAAAGATTCGGGAACCTCAAGACATGATGGTGATGAGCAACTGTGTTAGGGATCAGCAAAGTTTCATGAGTCACCTGAGATGAGACACTTCACAGTGAATTATTTGCAACTTTATCCGGCTTAGCTCCCCTCCTGAGCTCCAGCACTGTGGCCTTTGGGACACCCTCTTGGAGTCCTGCTCATGGCTGAGGGTATGTCAAGGGAGGATATGCTGCAGCCCCTGGGCATGGTGTCAGGAGAGCAGGCAGCCTCATGAGACTCAGCCCTTCACAACCGGTCACACACCACTACTTCAGCCCCCATCTCCAAAGTCCTCTCCAGATCCTATGAATTAGTACTGGACAGGGCCTGTCATTCCTGCTCAGTGCTGGATGCTTGGTACCCCTACTAGGTCACCTAGGAAGAAGTACGATTTTTTTTCTAGAACTGTGGATTGAACCCTGGGCCTTCATCCTGAGTGACATGCCCAACCCTTTCTTTTTATTTTGAGGCAGGATTGTCTTCTTAAATCACTCAGTGGCCCAGGGAAGGGCTCCAGCTTTGACATCCTTCTGCCTCTGCATCCCAGAGTGGAATCAAAGGCATATACCACCACACCCAACTGTGCTTTTTTATTGTTGTTGTTATTTTATGCATTTGGTACAGGGTCTCACTATGCAGGTTGGACTCAGTGACCCTTCTGTTTCAGTCTCACCAGTGCTAGGATTACAGGAGTGCATTGCCAAGCCTGGTCTTACTGACTGTGATTTCT